CGTTAGGCTTCACATCCCTGTTTCGGGTTCCTGCCGGACACGAAGTAATTCCTGCTGAAAACAAAAGCCGATAGTCTCATAGAAAGCCTGCTGTCCAGGCTTGTGGCAAAGGGATCTGAATGAGGCCTCTTAACAAGCAGCCTCTGGCTTTGCTACCAAGTAAAAGCAGCCGCTGAGGGGTAATTCTCTGGAAAGTGAGGCAGCCGGCTTCCCCGCCCCCGGGTTCCGGCAGAAACGCCGACCCGGACACCGTGGCCTGCGCGCCTGTGTCCAGCCGGCCCACGCCGCGGCTCCGCACCTCTAGCTCCTGGGAGGGGAGTTAGGTCACGTACTGCTAAAAGCGACCTTGACCAGGCGGCAGGAAACTGGGAGCCCACGGGTGTCTCGAGGTCACGGGCGTTTTCATCTAGTGCCAGGCCTGGCGGTGGGGGAGCTGGCGCTGGTCCCTAACATGGCCTACCATCATTTGCCAAGAATGAGATGATAACATTGGGGTTTGAATCTCATACGGTGAAATCATGATCCTTTCAGAGTCAATAGCAAAACTCCTTGTTTCATCTAGGGCAGGAGTTCATCTCTGGCATTGCCTATTCTTTTATGGGCTCAGGCTCTCCCATGTCTTTTTTAATACAGGCTCCGTGAGAGGGGTGGTGTATAAATCCTTGCTCCAGTGGAAGCTATCACAAAGCAGCCCAGAGCCCTAGCTGAGAACCCAGATGATCCAAGTTTTAGTTCAGTGCCCTAATCACTAGCCTCCACTCCTTCCCCAGCACCAGGCAGGTTGCTTGGGTAGTGTTTCTCATGGAAAAGTCCATTCATCTTCTCTTTCTCTGATAGTCTCTCCCAGTTTGTCTTGGCACTGGCAGCAGGTGAAAGACAAACAGACCCAAGAGCAGTGAAGTACATTTTTTAAAATATAGCCATATGAACACCTGATAACAGGCAAGCTAGGGGAATAAGGGAGAGGGGGATATTAAGCTGCATGTTAAGCTTCCACATGATAGTATCACCATCTCTAGCCCTTCACTAGCCTGTCAACAGCTGAACACTATAATGGGCTAACTGAGTTATAGATGCAGGGTTGGAAGGGAGCTTGTAGATCTTTTAGTCCAACCCCTTGTTGGGGGCGGGAGAAAAAACTGCTCAAAGTGACCCCAGCCTGGTAAACATTGAGCCTCCTCTTAAAGAGCCCCAGGGTAGGAATCATCACCACTTCCCTTGGTTATGCTCAGGCTCATAACATAATTGCTTAATTCTGAGAAGGCCAAAAGTCAAGTTGTACAGAGTGCCTTATTAAAAAAAAAAAAAAAGTACTAGGAAAAGAAAGTGAGTGCTGTGATTAGCTCTTTCCTTTTTTTAGGGAAATTACTATACCTGGTTAGCCCACTGTATCAAGAACAGAATAAGATTAGAGTACCTTATCTAAAAAGATGAGGTAAGAAATTTGAGGATTGGACAGTTTGAGACAAGATTGTCTACTACTGCTGCAGAGGCAGTGTGTATTTTTGTCACCAGCCTTGGAATTCTTGTTCAAACAAGAAGGAATCCAGAGACAAGCTTCCCCATACACCCAGCAGAGGATCTGAGGCCAGTACCACCTGAAGTCACTGTTGTAGTGTCCAAGGAACTGCTTGCCAGGTTGTATTACAAGATAGTTATCCTTGCAATAAGCCTAGGGGGTTACTGATTAAAAAAAATAAAAATAATTAATATTAAAATTTGATACCAGATTGGATGAGGGGCCATGTCAGTCCTTGGGGGCAGGGCACACACAGCAGTGTCTCTGGTAGAAGGAATCCTGGGGCAATAGTGGCAAAGACTTTTGAAACTTTTTTTTTTTTTTTATTCTTAAGAAGGAACTGCAACTTCAGTTGTGATACTAGTTCTACTGTACTTTGTATTTGCTCAGACAGCAACTAAAAAGGACAGAAGTATCCAGGATATATATATAAAAAAAGGCACCTAGTAGTAATCAATAGCTTTTTTCCTTCCTTTTTAAAAATCGTTTATACCTTAACTCCCTAGAACAGGCCTGCTATTATGCTAGGCAGATAGTAACACCATAAAAAAAGTAGCTAGACTTAGAAAGGAAAAGTATACAATGGCCAGAAGTATTCCAATGCTATTCAGTCTTAAAGTTAGTGCTTGCAGGTGAAAGAGGGTTTCTGGTAAAAGGTTTCTCCTTAAGCCAAATAGACTCCATAGGGAGGATGTACAAGTTGCATTACTGCTGCAGGGAGTACATGAGCAAAAGGAGTTCACTACCTAAAATGCTGTAAGAAACAGGCACTAGCTCCTTCCTCACTTCCCTCATAACATAATAAGAACTTATGATGCTAGCCATTTGTCCAGCAGGAAGACAAACTGGAAGGTAAAGTGATAGTATGAAGGCCCTGACTCACTGTATAGTTGAGTAAGGACAAAAAAAAAGCAAGGCATCTTAGAAAACCATGCAAATAATTCATTATCGTACCCCCAATCAGAGCTGAGAGCTCACGCTCGCTCAGGAACCTAGCATCAGATCAACTTGTGACTCTTCGATGCTCACTTAGCCACCCACCACTACACAGAACTTGCAAGCCATTTTATTTCTTCTCCCCATGATCCATTTTCAACCTGGACTAACCCAGCCTCATTTTTGTTCCCAAGTTCCTCCTCAATTAGGAAACCATATATTTCTTCCCTTGAGCTGCTGAAACACCAAACACACACAAAGACACTTAAATTCTCTGGTCTGCAGAGATCTGGGAGGAGCAGCTACCAAATGAGGGCACCAAGTCAGAACAGCCAAGTTACCATGTGAAGTGTTTGGCTTGGTAAATAGTATTTTTCCACTCTGAATTATGATACAAGAAGAAAAAACAAAACAAAACAGGGCAACTGGAGAAAGCTAGCTGCTATATTTTTGGCCTCAGCATCATAAAACCAGATTTGCTGCCCAACCCTGGTTCCTCTTCCTATAATCTACTGCAAGCACCAGATGTGTGGGATTTAGCCCATTGCAGTTGGCCAGGCCAAGTTGGTCCTAGCCACTGGGGCACAACATTGAGTTTGCAGATGTTGCTTGGGAGTGCTCATCTCTCCCCTCTTTGAGAACCCTTTTTGTTTTTAAGTGAATGGCAGCTAAAAAACCTTGACATTGAGGAATCTTAAGTGCCCCCCATCATGCTTTCAGCTGTCACCAAGACAGCTTAGCTTAGAAAAAGATTCTCTGGAGTGCAAGATACATCTTGCATGAATGCTTAGAGCTAGAAAAGAGCAAAGACTTAAGCACAGTCAGGACACTAAGATGCACCAGCTATCCTGTGGACAAGATATATTCATTGTTCTGTACCCCTCCCTCACTTACAAATGAAGAGCCTTGCCTCTTACTAGAAATTAGATGGGTCAGACTCAAGTCTGAATTTATTTTACATTGTACAGAGTGTAAAAGGCACATGACACCTCTGGCATTGGATTAGCAGTGCTCTTTTGTATATGAAAATGAGTCCCAGAATGATGAAGGCCAGAGTTACAGCAGCAGCTATCACAATCAACCCAGCCATCTCTTCTATGCCTGTAAAAGAATGGGGATGGTTAGAATAGGAACCAAACTATTTTTTTCCAGCCATCTTCCAAAATCCCTAGTTATGGGCAAGTTTACTTCCGAGTCCTAGAGAGGTCATATCAGGAGAGGGGCTAGGGGGCACACACCAGGATAAGAAACAGTGGAGCTATGTTTGTTGCTATTCTACAAGCAAAAGCTTCTTACCTGGCCCCCCTCCCAATTCAGCAGGTGGTTAAGTTAGATGGATGAACCAAGTGGGTACTTCTCACTAGAGGCTAGTCTTAGGCCATGAATGGGTTAAGCCCAGCATCTGGGCAACCTTTAAAAAAAAATGTTTGTTCCAAGTCCAGCCACATCATTCCTAGACCCCCATCCCCAAGTGGCAGATCCATGTAGCAGGTCTTACAAGACTTTATTCCTTCACTTTTGAGGGGGCTTTCACCAGCCAGTGTGATGTTAGTGTTCCAAAATTAGCTACCACAGGAGTATCAAATCTATAGCAGACAGATAAATTGCATACCATTCTTTGCTGCTTTTTCTACTTCTATTTGATATTTGAAGAGATCCCTGGACTCTTGTGAAGCATCAAGGATATATAGTGGCCCTAGCACAATGTCAGACTCTGCTTCCACCATGGAGGAGTTACCTGTGTTGAAAGTAAGAATAAGATGGTAGTAGCAGCCATTTCAATCCCAGGAGGAAGAGGCTCAATGCAACTACTTTTGGGATAAGTCAGACTTATTTTTCCAGGAGAATTGTGGGGAAGGAAGGGAGGAAAAGAAAGAAAGTATTAAGGCTTACCAGGCTTGGAAGCCACATCTCTCCGGAAGTGCCTCACTGGCCATCTGGGAGGGTGGACTCTCCTAGACCATCCAAGCAACCCACAATTTCCAGTTTTACAGCAGCTGCAGATGTCCTTGGTGCCTTCCACTGGAGACCAGCTAGAACCACGAGAAGGGTGGGGAAAAAAAAAAAAAAAAAAAGGGGAAAGATGACAATCCCTTATAGCAAGGGGCTCTTCCAGCCTGTGCTGCCCATCACGCCCCACCTATGGGTGTTCATCTCCCCAGCTACTTACATGTTGCCCACTTTGTGGAAGGAACAGGCCTTGTTCAAGAGGTCTGGAGCTTGGTCAGCTGGAGTGACCTTCAGATGGCAGGTAATATAGATCTGGGAGGGAGATGGAATAGAAGGGTTAGAACCATCCCATGGGACACTCACCAACACCCTCCTTCACCTGGAGGCTAGACTTGGGTCAGGAAGCAGAGATCTTACCAGGTTCCTAGCATCTGCTGCAAACTTGAATGCATCAGTCACAAGCTGCAACGTGTCCTGCCTGGGCCTAGGCGATATGAAGGCTGAGGTGGTATCATCTGATCTCCCATCCACAAGGCATCTAGAGATAGGCAGCTGTGTTAGCTTAAAGCCCAGCCAGAGTTGGGATCCTTGCCAAGCAGCAAGCTGAGCTCTTACCCATTGAAGTCAACAATGGCATAGCGGGGGGAGGAGTTCTTGTCTGGGGTAAGGGTAGCCACACAGCTGTCCACAAAGAGCCTCAGAGCCATGTGGTTTTCAGCAGTGACCTCAGCTTGGATGTGCATGGCTTCTCCCAGGTGGAACCCATTGGAGGGTCTCTCAGCACTCCAGTCATCTGGAAGTGAAGCTCATGGTGAGCAGAGGAAATAAGTAGGCAGGGTTGGGCTCTCCCAAAACAGTCTGAAGAGATTACGTGAGGCTAAGAAGAACAGGGAAGTGGAGGAAGATGCAGGGAATCTAGTTGGGCTAGCATTAGCTAGAGTTAGTTATGCACCCCTCCCCCACTGACACCAATTTGTTTTGGTATCCTGATTCCAAGAGCTGTCCCATTCTGGGATCCAGGTTAGAGATCCCAATATATTATCTACACAAGGCCCCTCTAATGGTAAGGAATTGCTTAATCAAGATCAGCCCAGCTGATCCACAAGTGAAATATGCCCCAGTCCAGCAGAAACAACTCCACCCTTCCCCACCCCCAGGCAATCCAACTTGGGGGCTACTCCTTTCAACCCCAGATCAGGCTT